GAAGTTTTCGATAGTTAAGACCTGTATAATAATAGAATGCGTCCTCATTCTCAACATAGTAGTAGAACTCAAACGAATGCTTACCATAAGCTGTTATTTCAACAGCTTCGTCAGATATTTCATCAACGAACTCATAAACTATATCGCCATACTTGCTTTTATTTCTATTGTTTTCAGATTTAGAACACCAACGAAGGTTTGAGATTCTGTTGTCCGTTCTATCATGATTTATATGGTCTATTTCTTTCAAATTGTTTGGATTTTCAATCCACTGTTCTGCAATAATTCTATGTTTTAAATGTGTTTTGTTGTTTAAACTAAGCTCAATATAACCATGATTATTTAAGCATTCACTCTTAATATGTTTGTTTTTCTTTCGACGAATAGTAAAAGGATATGTCGTACAAATCTCATAATCTTCATGATTTCTCAATGTTTCCCATTGAGTTTGTTCCCCACTAACGTTCTCATTGACGTCCTCAATATCTTCTTCCTCACTGAACTCGTCAATATTTTCACTAGCTCCTTCTGTAATGTTTTCATCGGCATTGTCATTGACTTCTTCTGTAATGTTAGATGTTGTTGTTTCGCTCATGTTCTTTCACTAATGTTAAAAAGTTATGTTGTACGAATTTTGAACAGAATTTAGAGCAGTTATGAAACAATGAAGTATTTTTACGCTATTGAAAGGAACTATGAGAGTGAAGTACATGACAGCAATGACAAAAGGAACTAATATCAAACCTAATGAAATCGCTCACGAGGACATAGAGCTTAACAAGTATTTTGTGGAGTATCTTATAAGTGAAGAGTATGTAAGACCTTACTTCATGTTTGACAGCATGAATGAGGATGTTATTTCATGGTTAAAGAATATAAGCAATGTTTTCGGTAAGTACGTCATAGATGACAAAGGTCTTGTTGTATTTTATGAGACAGCAATACGAACACAGGAACTAATGGATATTATGCATTCAACAGCAAAGAAAGGATTTAGTACTATTGGCATGAATGAACATTGCAGGAATGACATATACAACCTATGCTCACGAAAGCCTTACACAAAAGCAATACAAATGATAGAACATAAGTGTCTAAGGTCAGCAAATGAAATCATTACTGTCAGTGGTTATGAAAGAACTGTTAGCAAAGATGAGTGGAAACAGCTATTCATATTAAGGAAGGACGTTGCTGAACTAGTTAAACCTGTTGCACAAACATTGTTTCAGATAAGACCAGCAATGACTAAGAACCCTTTGACCTTAGTCAATGAGACCATAGAGGTTGAAGATAATGACATGAAAGAACTAGGAATGAATGAGAGAAGTTGTGAAGGATGTTTGAGTCAAAACACATGGTTCTTCAGAGCTGTTAAAAACTTAGTAAAGAACGACAGAAATATTTTATAGAGAAGTATTGCAAAGGATGTGTAAATGAATTGCTTGAAATAGAACTTAGAGACACTTTCACACTAAAGGACTTGAGAAGAAATAAGTACATGAGTGAAGAAGGTATTGACATAGCTAGTGTTATAAATGACTTAAGAAGATGTGTTGTTGTTATTGACGGAGCACGTATGACATATCTAGTGAAAGATTATGATGGAATACGAGACACAACAACACTTGTCAGTAGATAGCAAGGAATTCAATAAGCTCATGAAGAGTATTTATGTAGGACGTATTGAGGAGAAGGATGTGAACGCACTGATGATTTATGAAGCGGGTCAGAACAAGAACTATCTTATGAAGTCAGGCATGAGATTCTTTGACGAAAGAGATGACATTTACAGCTATTTCAGAGGATATGAGTATGAGGTACTGAATGAAGTAGATGAGAACGTTATTGAAGGATATTTGAAACATGTTCACGATGTCATATGTAATGAGGATGAAGAGCTTTATGAGTATGTTTTGAACTGGTTCGCCTACATCGTTCAAAATCCTTGTGGAAAGACTGGAACAGTACTTTTGTTAATAGGAAAGCAAGGAACTGGTAAGAATGTACTTAGTAATGTTCTATGCGAGCTCATTAGCAAGTACGCCAACAATAATATAACGGCAATAGAGAATGTGGTTGGTAGATTCAATGCTGCTATTGAGAACATGAAGCTCATCGTATGCAATGAACTAAGCTCATGCGATACGTCTAAGGTCATGAACCACGACGCACTAAAGTCAATAGTAACAGAGACTCAGTTGGACTTAAATCAGAAGTGTCAGCCAGTAAGAAAGATAGAGAATGTTTGTAATATCATCATGATATCTAACAACTTCAACTCAGTAAAGATTGACAAAGACGACAGAAGATTTGTTGTCATTGACGTAAGCAGCAGATACAAAGGAAATTACGAATATTTCTCAAATCTCATTGAAAGCTTTAATGAAGAGTTTTATTCAAACTTACTGACGTACTTCATGAAGAAAGATTTAAGTGAATTTGATGTAAGGAAGATACCATTCACCAGGGCTAAACAAGAACTCATCGAAATGAACAAAACACCTTACCAAATGTTTTACGAGGAGTTCTATGAAAAGTTTGTATCCGGATGGAATTGTACAGAGTGCTACAGAAGATATAAAGAATTTGCGAAGGAGAATGAATTCTTTGCATGTAGTTCAAATGTATTTGGTGGCAAGATGAGAGAATTTGTGAAGAGAAGTAGAAAGCGAGACGGTTCTGCAAGAAGTTATATTTACGAAGCAAGTATGATATTAGAAGGTCGTGGAAAGAAAGAAACAGTGAATTATGAGGAAGTGCTTGAAAAATTCATGGAGTACATGGGAAGCAATATAACATACAACAAAGACATATACAGTGAGTTTAAGTACTACTGTGAACAGCATGAGATTGAAGTAATGAGTAAAGGAGACTTTGAAACGCTTATGAAAGACAGTAAGGAGGTCGTTCATGAGAACAGTGTTGAAATAGTTCATGAGAACAGTGAGGAGGTCATACATGAATGCAATGATGAAATAGTTCATGAGAACAGTGAGGAGGTCATACATGAATGCAATGATGAAATAGTTCATGAGAACAGTGAGGAGGTCATACATGAGAACAGTGTTGAAATAGTTCATGATGTCGTTCGTGAAGAAGCCATTGCAACAAAGAATGATATAAAGGATTTCATAGAACTTAACAAGGAGGAGTTTAAAGAAGGCTATGAAGTGAAAAGATGTGAAGAAGATTTCTTGGCGTATTTGAAGAAAAAGAGACTAAAGCCAATGGCTCAAAATAAGTTTCAATCGATGTTTGAAAAGAAACGTTTGAGCTATGGTGGTGTAAGAAGCACATATTACTTTGTTAAGAAGTGAGGACATTTATTTTTGTCGTTAGTGTTGGAGTTTGTGTTTGTTGTTAGTGTTTGTCATTTTGTGCTGAGGTTAGTACTTGTCGTTAGTGTTGGAGTTTGTGTTGGAGTTTGTGTTTGTTGTTAGTGTTTGTCATTTGTGCTGAAGTTAGTACTTGTCGTTAGTGTTGGAGTTTGTGTTTGTCATTTGTGCTGAAGTTTGTGTTGGAGTTTGTGTTTGTCATTTGTGCTGAAGTTTGTGTTGGAGTTTGTGTTTGTTGTTAGTGAGAGAATAAATTAAATCATGAACTTTGCCATGGTCTCTGTCCCTAGTAGTTTTCATTAAGTTCTGGAAATAATGAAAGTCATAAACTTTGCCATGGTCTCTGTCCCTAGTAGTTTTCATTATCTCACAGAGTTAATGAAAGTCATACTTTCTATCAGATGAAGCATGCAGATGAACATAATGAAGGTTAGTGAGTTTGCCACGAGTTATGAATAAAATATTGGCATATTAGATGAGATAGCTGATGAAACAGATGAAGATAAATTAAATCTTGGACTTTGCCACACTCTGTCCCTAGTTCCTCAAAATCCTTGACAACGTTGCTTAGAAATTTTGGTTCAAAACCTCATCTGATTTTAATCTGTTATGCTACCTGTTAAGTTTCGTGAGATTATAAATGTCATGGAGTTATATAGAAAGGAGGGACAGCTAGGGACACTGGAAGTACTTGTAAGGCTATCTGTTAAGATTGCATGAAATACTAAAAAGTCATGAAATCCATTATCGCTGTGCTAGCTTCACCTTAGAGTAAAATGACAAATAAAGTCACTGAAGCAATGAAACAAAAGTTTTTGGTAGAATACATTAAATCAGGAACTATTCCAGAAGGTTTTTACATTCATACTATGAAGGATGGTAGAGTTCAGTTTAGAAAGATAAAGCAACCATTAGATAAAGAAGGTATATTAAGGAAGATTAAACTTCATGAGGACAACATTGCTGAACTTAAGAAGAAGTTAGAAGAGTTGGAGAAAGGAAGAGAGTTATAAAGCAATGAATTCAACAGGGTGAAAAAAGAGGTGAGATCTCACCACTTCACCTAAATTTAAATGGATGTTTTCATACGTGTGGGAGTGGTGATATCATTAATTTTAAGTTTATTTTTAAAATTATTTTTAAGTTTATTTTTATATAAATGACGAAAACTATTGAGATAACAAACTACAACGGTCATGAGTTCAAGAATTTGTTCTTCGTTCCTCGTGAAAATACATTCTATCAGATACGAGGGAGAAAGGGTAAAGTTAGTTTGAGCGTTTATGAAGGAATGAAGAATGGAAAGTTTATACAAGCATACGATACAAACGGTAAACGTGTTTCATTAGCTTTGTCAAAACTTACTAACATTTATTTTGACAGTGACTTTGACTCTGACGATTGGAGCGACAGCAGCGATACTGAAGAATATGAACTATTGTGTGAAGCACAGCAATGGGAAGAGTTGCAATACTTTTGTAAGTGAGAACGTTTATTTTTACAGTAGTAAGGTGAAGTGGTTGGCGGCTTTATAAATATTTAAGGTTAAGTTGGTGTTTGTGTTTGTGTTGTAAAATATACGTTAACGGTTTTGTAAAGTGTCAAATTCACAAGTATTGGGTAAGGTGGAACGCAGTGCCACCGTACACATGATATGTATACTAACTATATTTGGTTCTGTGCGAATTCTGAAGCAACAATCAATCTCTCATGAAGTTCTAATGAAGCATCAGGTTGCAATAAACCAGTGCTAATGTCAACAAGTTCTTTCATGACAGAAAAGAAGAAATTGTCTGCCATTGGGCATTTATCGCCTGTAATAACTTGATCTGTGCAATGAATCATCGCATCGAACAAACCATTTCTGATTTGTCTCTGTGGTAATGTCATCGTGTATCTTGGATCAATGATTGAGAACTTCGGATATGTGATTTGAGCACCTCCGTAATTCTTTTCTTTCCTATCTTCTCTTGAGATAACAAATGTATTGTTCCATTCAGAACCAGTTGCTGGAAGAGTAATGATTGAACCAACTGGAATCGCCTTCTCAGGGAAAGCACCTTTTGAGATGATATCCCAAGCATCAACTGATGGATCAAGAGATGCAGCAGCTGAAATGAACTTGGTTGCATCAAGAACTGAGCCACCTCCAACGGCAAGGAGTAAGTCAGGTTTGTATTCACGAACAACTTTGATAATTTCCAAACACGTTTTGTATTCTGGGTTTGGCTGAATGCCTCCTTGCCATTTGACTTCGCATTCAAGATCGGCTAATGCTTTAACAACACTGAACGAGCACCATTCTTATCAATTGATCCGCCGCCAAATGTGCATAAAACGCGTGATTTTCTTGGGACGAAATCCTTGAGATGCTCTTGAACAGCATTAGCACCGAAAGCTAACTGAACATTATTAGTCCAAAGCCACTTCATCCTCTATTGCTGTATAAAAATGAAGTGTATTTTTTTAATTAACTATTTATCTCAAATTTTTGAGAGAAAAATATATTCCGGCCAATTGTTTAAAAATTACATTGCTTTTGATAATTCAAGATTATATAGCTTCGAGTTCTTATTGTTCAATAAATACATGATAAAAATTTTGAAACAAGTGAGTTGCGTCATAAAGTTTTGAATTTTTTCTGACATTTGTCCATATGAATTCACAGCTATTTTGCTAACCATTTAGATATTAGAATTACAATAAATTAATTATATGTCTCATTAAGACAGTGATTGTAGTTCAATTTCAATTTTTGAATCGAAATTCAGATATGATTATAAGGCGATCATTTATTTTTGATCAATATTATATATTGGTGTTTCAAATTAATGTTTAATACTATTTGCATGGATTTTCAAAAGTTATTTGTAACTTCAGTCATTTAAAATTTATTAATTTCATTAACCATATATAGGAGGATGAAGTTAATGTGGATCTTATTTTTATCATGATTAAGATAGAAAGAATAATAAAAATGAATTTTTAGTTATATTCAAAGTTTATTCATACATTTATTATATTTATCCATATCTAGTGATAATACTCATATACTCTGCCATAGAACCTGCATTATACCTTCCTCTAAGATATTCATGTTGAGCAGGACCCCCACTATTTTCAATTCTGCTAATTCTAGAGTCTGTTTTTTGAGAAGATGAACTGCTCTTCGATTGGGATGATCCTTGCTTAGAACTCATCTTTTAAAAATGAAATGAGTTCTATTTTTTGTCAAAAATTTTATTCCTAGTCAAAAATTTTGAATCAAATTGATTCACACTATAATGATTAAAATTTAAAATATTTGATCGATTGTTATTAAAACTATAACTTCAAGATAAAATTAATCTAATGAATTCCTCTTCAAAATTTTGAAATTTTGAGGGTATTCAATTTTTCTTTAAATTTCCTTTCTCCTTAATCATTCAATTTGATTTGCGATTGTTTTGTTCATCTTAATAAATACGGTGCTATTATCAATCTTTTAGCTTTTAGCTTTGAGCCTTTACTTTTTTTTTGAAATAAGAATTCATAATATTGGATTTATCTTGACGTTATAATTGTAACAACCATGGATCAAATATTTTTAACTTTAATCATTATAGTGTGAATCAATTTGATTCAAAATTTTTGACTAGGAATAAAATTTTTGACAAAAAATAGAACTCATTTCATTTTTAAAAGATGAGTTCTAAGCAAGGATCATCCCAATCGAAGAGCAGTTCATCTTCTCAAAGATCAAATATAACAACTAGAATTGAAAAGTCCGGTGGCCCTGGCCCATATAGATATCTTCAAGGAAGATATAAACATTCAAGGTCTATGGCTGACTATATGGAGTATATCTCAGCATTCAGCTAAATAAAATCAATGTATGAATAAACCCTAAATATTTCAAAAATCCATTTTTTTAAAAGTTTTATCGTCCTGTCTATCGCTCCAATATTTGAGAGGTTTACATCACAAGTAAGATATATGCACAAATTAGATACTCCAAAAATTCGAACTCATTATGTGGGTGCATCTCATAATCTTGTGCGGAACATTGTGTTGTAAAATTTCGAACTTTGGAAAGGTTTTTTTACAAAAAGGAAAGATGAAATTCCATAAAAATTTGACATATTTATTCGTTGTTGTTGTTCTATTCAGTTCTTATTTAGTTGGACTTCATCCTCTATTAAATAATATCATTGCACTTCAAATAATTTTGGCCATTTCATCCTTTCATCACATTAGAATGGTGTAATATACCATCACAACGTGAAAGAATCTAAAATTGAGCAATTTTAAAATAGATTTTGGAAGATGCCAATTTTGTGGATTGAAGATCAAAAAAAAAACTGGCAAAAATGACGTTGTAGATGAATCATGAGAAAAGTGACTCATTCAGAATCAATGAATGAGTTGTATGTTTATGAATGCTTGTTTTGAAAATTAATTAAAAGTTTTTCATCGTACTACGATAAAATTGAATGCGCGTTTCAGAATCGTTTTTGACATTTCCCAAAACCAATGGAAACATTAAATAAATATAAAGATTCAGGTGTTAAAAACATGAACAGTAGTAAATTTGAGGAAGCCATCACTGATTTCACAAAAGTTATTGATGGTCTTGAACCAAATAATGAGGAAGAAGCAATGTTGAAGATGACATGCTTGTCAAACAGATCAGGATGCTACCTTGCCGTTGCCAAACGTGAGGAAGCTTCAAAAGATGCCACAGAAATCATCAATATCTACCAAAAATTCCGACCAGAAGAAATACAGGCCAAAATGACAAACGAACAGATTAAACAGGACAAGCTGACATTCCTTCTTTCTCTCGCTTTTGTAAGGAGAGGTAATGTATTCGAATCACAGATCCAGTTACTTGAGGCATTGCAACAATATGCACAAGCTGTCACACTTGATTTTGAAGGAGCTGGACAGATGGGTATGAGAAGCATCCTTAATCGTCTTGGCGTACCTCAATTTGACCAAGACGACCCAGAACTCAAACCATTTTCGGAATTACTTGCATTACTCTTAGATCCGACATCACTGTTAACGGATCTCGTTGGTATTACCAAAGCAGCTAACGAATCCGTTATGGATGCTAACTTAATCAAAAAATTGAACTCGACCGGATGCTGCAGAATCCTTTACGCAGTTATACAGCTCTATTTAGGCGAAGAGATGCTCGTTCTTGCATCATTGGTCGCTATTAGAGCACTCGTTGAGCATGGTGTCGGTGATCTTTTCGCTCAAGCTTTAATTACTCGCGCAGTTGTACAAAACTGGGGCCAAAATGCACCAATTATGGGAGCAGTCTTAATGTTCTTACGTTTATTACCTCAACAACTACTTCCTTCCCTTAATGCAGTCGATTTCATTGGTCCAATACTAAAATCACTCGATTTAGAGCTTAAAGAAGACGAACAAGAAGCAGCATACTACTTACTCCTCCATCTTATGGAGAAAGAAGAACATTTCCTTAAGGTTGGCATAGAAGGAGGAATATCCAAAGCAATTTCGGCCAAAACCAAAGGATCTTTGATTTTCCTTTCGAAATCATGCCAGCTCCGCCAGAACGCACGCATGCTCGAAACAGAAAACGGCGGACCAGACTGGATTTTCGACGTAATTTCTAAAAACACCGATAATTTGACGGTTTTATCGGCCACATCAATCTTAATTACACATATGTTCATGGGAGCCGCAGATGACAAAGAACACAATCTCCCAACACCACCAGTAGAAGAGCTCAAGAAACGCGCAGAAAAAGCTTATTCTTTGATGTTTCCTGCTGCAACCAAATTTGCGAAAGAACCTGATTTGGTCAGTAACTTATTTGCAGCATTAGCAAGCTGTGCTGAGTTTGCAACTGACTACATTCATCAGAATAGAGCTATTCAAGCTGCTTCAGCCATATTGATGCTGAATGAGAAAGACGAAGGATGCGCGTTGAATATTATCTCTTTCTTGTACGCGTGTGTGACATCAGGATTAGTTGAAGATGTTAAACAAACAAGGTCTGCAATGCCAACTGTTATGAAAGCGCTCCAACAACATGCAAATAACTTATTGCTTGTTGAGAGAGCTGTTGCAATCGCTTGTGAAGTTGACAACCCGAAGAAATTGGAGCTTTTAAAGCCTGCTTTGGAACAAAATCCTTCTTCACCAATTTTGGCAAAATATTCTTCCTTACTTGTATAAAAATAATTCTTTAGTATAATACATCACAAATTCATTTTTAAAAAACAAGAATTACTAAGGTTAACAAAAAAATATGCGTTTTTAAAGGTGAATTTACGTCCATCTGACTATTATTCAAATTTCTGATAACTGGCAAGAATGGTAATTAAAAAAATTGAAGGTTGTGTTATATGGGTGTAAGTGTACCCTTAAAAAGCCATCGTTTGAGAGTAAAATTGAGTACTTTCTGACACAAAAACCTAACAATGTCAAGAACTTTGAAAAGGCCAGAAAATTTTTAGTGTCAGAAAGTTTACAAATGAATACTTTCTGACAAATGGAGTCGTTGAAAGTGCTCAAACTGTGGTTTTTTAATTTCTGCATTTTTTTTGTCGACCAACAAAAGAACTGCCGCCATTAGTTGTGAACAAATGTTTTTAAACTCATGAATATTGGGATTCATCCAACTTTTATAAATCGAACTAAAAAATTTACCATCAAAAATATTGAAAATTTTAAAATTGAATTGTTCTATAGCAAAATTATAGTGGATTTAAATTATGCCAATATATATTCTTCCACATAAAAACAAAATTTTTCCACAACTTGGGATATTCCCAATATCAGAGATTTTATGTTATTCTCACATTTCTGACAAAGCAAAAGGGTAATGAAATTTCAAATGCAAATTTGTAATATGCAGTGAATTTGACCAAGCATCACAACTGCATTACACTAGGACAGAGTTCTTCCGAGACATCTAATCAAATGAGAGACTTTGGAAAAACTCTGTCCTATTCTATTAATTACAGAATCCTCGGCCTTTTGGGAACCAGGAAAGAGTAGTAAGAATACTTTAAAGCAATATTCATTACGAAGTCTCTCATTCGATGAGAGACTTTGTAATGAATATTGCCCAGTTCCGATAACTTACATCCCTGACCCTCAAAGGTTCAGGGAATAGTGCTATAGTCCACGAAAGCAATAACGTATAACTAATATCGCCAGATGCACAATTACATAGCATAGATATACTACCCTAGCAGCTAGATTGCACATATATTGTGTTTCTGGCTTGCAGAAACCTCATGAAAGATCGATTGAAGATTTCCCGCTGAAATCACTTGCTGATGTGGATGAAACGCATATGATATAAGCTCAACCAACATAATCTTAATTATCATTATTATTCCTTGAATCAATCTCCATGGGGAACCCTGAGTTGAGTGACTTCTGAAATTAGATGCTTGAATAACTCCACAATTAGCTTTAATAGAGACCTAAAAGTTTGAAGCGTCGTAGCTGTGTATGTGTGCCTAATTGGTAAAAAAAAAAAAAAAAAAAAAAAATTAGTTTACTTGATTTGAACAATAGTTGTCAATCATATTTTTGATGCTTGATTAAAGGTACATGATCAGATTCAAGCTTATCTTTATTTTTGGATTTAAATATAGATTTAAAGAGCCTGAAACAATCTGAAAAAACACCTTGTATTGATCCATTTTCATTGAGTGTGATAGCTTCAAGTAATATTTTACCACTGCAATCATCATGAATGGGACCTGCATCTTTGCAAAATAAAACTTTGGAATCATCTGAATCCATCAAACGAATACCTAACAGATGAGATTTAGCAGAAGAAAAATATCCAATGAAGCTCTCAACATAAATGTTAAAAAAAAAACCAGATTTGACACCAAGAAGTTCAAAGGCTTCATCATATTGAAGATTATCACTGAAATGAGGTAATATGCTATAAAACGATGATGTCCAAAAATTTCCGCAATAATAATATTTGAAAGTTAAAAAAGGGTGAATGCTTACGGACTTTTTGGAGGTAAGAATTTGTACGACATCATCATAAGTTTTAATTGTTGGATCATTAATTTCTGCTTGAATGACCATGAAGAATAATTTTGGACCCAAAATATTATTTTGACGGACTATTGAAGCTTGAGGAATGATAACGATATGTCTGTGTTTATCCGGGTGACTATTGATTGCATATACAATCTTATTGGCTTCAACATTTATTTTAGAAAGATTATTCTTCTTAAAGAAATTCTGCTTTTTATCAAGGTATTCTATTATTTCTTTTCGAATGTCTTCGTTGAGTATCTTGCAACGATTCTTGACTGGATAAGCTTCTTCATCGAACTTGGGATTTTTAAAAACTTTCATTAAAATTTTGAAAAATTTAAAAAAGTTATCAAAAAAAAATTGAATGAGAAAAATCATTTCATGTGTTTAAAGTTTTAAAGATTATTTTGACACTTTATAATTATTCGCATCCTTAAGGCAGGTATGGTATTTTGGAAAAGTTGACAAAATTTAAAAACTAATTATGTGAAGGATGATTATTTTTTATTCAAATGTAAATTCTCGAAATTTGAATACAAACGCTTTTTTAAAAAGTGTTTGTATTAATTTCGAGAATCATAATTTTCGAAAATTGAAACGACGAGTTTCAATTTTCGAAAATTACAAGTCTCATCACACTTCCGAAATAGTCTGTGGTAATTTTTAGTCTCTACACTATTTCAATATAAGCTCCATTTTTAAACAGTTTTTAAAAATCGAGCATTGAAAAGTGTGATGAGACTTGCAAAATTTTAATCAACACAATTTTCTGAGGTTTACAAATTTGCAAAGAAACATAGGCTCAAAATCATTGTTGACAAAATTAGCAGTTTCTTTGCACTTTTTGAATTTCAATTTTCAATTGTAATTCAAATGTTGTGCAAGAAAACTGCATTGTCTTGCCTTCAATAATACAATTTTCAATTAAAAATTGAAAATTGTATATTGAATGCTAGTGAATTGAAAAACAGTTTCACTCATTCAATTTGCCTAATAATATGCTAATTTATCGGTTTAAAAGAGTTTATCGAGTATAGAAGAAAGTAGTTACAACTTTTAGAAAAAAAAATAAAAATAAAATAAAAAAAATAATATTGTGAAAATTAGTCTTATTATGGATTTCTTATATATTCTAAATTTGCTGCTTTGAATGAATCACAAAATTGAAAGAACAAAGCTTGTGTAATTCAAAATCAGAACTATATTAGTAATTGCTTTTACGAGCATCGCTAACCATACAAAAAACTCAACCTATTAAAAACCTCAATTAATGAGTCAAATTGTGAGCTTTACAAAATTTGCAACCCAAATTTTGCTGCACTCACAAATAGACACATGAATTTCAGATTATTAGCCAAATTGAAAAACTGATTCACTCAAAATTTTTTACTTTTTCAGTAAAAGTACTAAGGTAGTCACAAAATCTAAGTAGTGAGGCTCTCAAAAATTGAACCGTACTCCATACAAAATTTGTGTACCCTCACTACTTAGATTTTGTGGCCTTCAATTGAGAGGTTAGTTTTGATAGAGCACGTTATAAAATTAAAAGGGAAAAATAAATAAAATTTAAACATTTAATTATATATAATGTAAGGAGTGTAATTCCAAATTTTCTAAAAACTATTCAAATTTGAGCATTTTTTTGGAAATAGTAAATCTAATATGTACATCTAATAACAACATGATTCATCACCTTTTCAAGCTCTGCAGTCAATTTTTTGAAATTTGATTGAAAAAAATGTAGCAAAAATTACATTTCATTAGGGAATATATGAGTTTCTCTGGAAACAGGCTGATAAATTTTAAATTTTGTCCAATCAACATGAATGTATTGAGAAATTTGGATTGATTTTCTGATAGAATCTTGAACAATTCAACCATGTATAAATGGATCATGTAATCATCATGAAATGTTAGTGTTAGAGTTCAAAAGAAACAGAATGAGTGGAAATCAAACACAATCTGAATAATTTTAAACGTATACAATCTTTAAGTTTGTATTTTGAATTCTACATATATGATTGTGTAATTCGTTCTTTCAAATTTTCGGATTCAGGCATGTTTTGATAAAATTCATTCCCAAAAACGTCAATTAACAATTAAATTTAGTATATTTTAAATATATTTACGTATTATATTTTATAAATTATATTAAATTCGCAAAATTTTAAGTTTTAAACAAAAATAAAAAATGTTCAAAATATGAAATTATGCATAGGATATTAAAATTTACATGTTAGCAATTTTTTTGAATTGCTTTCAATTTTCATATTGAAATTTTTAAGATTTTTTTTCTGAAATAATAAGCAAGAATATCAACCTAAATAATATTAAATTCCATGCGTTAATTTCCCCTCAAAAGTCATTGACCGCCTCTCAATCTAGATTTTGTGAGTACTTTACTTTATGGTAGAAATTATTCAAAAAATCCATAATTTTTCACTCTGTATATCGCCTGCAATTCTGGAAGTCTATGAAGGCGATACTCTAAGAAGTATAATGAATCAATTAAATGACATTCAAATTGTTATTGCGCAATTTTACCATTCAGTCTTCAGAAAATCAATTCCAAACTGGCTAACTCACAATGATTCTAAGAATACAGTTACCTTAAATCAAGCTCAAGAATTTTATTTCAGCATTTACTCGCTCTTCAAAGATACTGACAATCCAGGAACTCTTTTTGTTAGTGAAAAACTGTTAGCAAGCTTCAAATTTGAATTAGCAAAATTATATAGTTTAATTCAATTTCTTAAGAAACCTAAAGAGAAAAAAGAACGCGGCATCATTGATCATCTTTGGGACAGATTCCTTAAAACTGCTCCTGCAATTATTACTCTTTTTGCAGATGAGTTTAATATCTTTTGGAAAAAGGCTTATCTTATTCCATGGATTACAATACTTTTGTTCGAATTGATTCGAGCCAATCACCTTAATTATTCCATCAGTTACTGTCATTGTTCATGCTCTCAACTCGGTTACGGACTCATTGGAGGTCTTTTCGAAGGTGTAAAAGTTGCAACTGTTTGGACATTAACTAACGCCCTCGATAAAACTTTTTCCCCTATGTATGACAAAAATAAGACATTGATTCTTCAAGAAATCAATGGCATTATAGGCAATGAAACTCTGACTCAAATCAAAGAAATACTAGGTGAAGAAAAGGTAAACAAGATAACAAACATTATTAATCAAGCAGAAATTACAATTAAAAACAATGTTATTGCAAAAAAGGTTCAAATCGCTCCAATATATATCGCAGTTAACATCGCGACCAAATACATAGTAGACGGTCTATTAATCTTTTATTTTATTGTTAAAAGTGATGTTAATTATAGTGATAAATTTTTTGTCAAATTACGCAAAAAACTTCAAAATCGCAGTGCTGCTGACATCCATATTTTCGGAATGTTAACTACCTTTCCAAGTTCAGATATTATTTACGAAAACATACCGGCACCCCCTGGTTATGTTCCCAATCCCAAAAATGATGATCAAATTGACAATAATGAACAAGCAGATTCAAATGCACAAAACGCTTAGAACTTTGTTTCAAGTAAACTTATTGCTTTTTTATTTCCGTTTGAGGTCTTAAATAATATGTGCCATACTAATTCGAAAACTCAATGTAGAGGTTATAAGTAATAGAAAGAGTTATTTGATACACTATTACTTCAGAATGAAAATAATTTTAGTAATTTTTATGGGATTTATTCCATGAGAATCACTAATTGAATATCACATATGGAATAATAAGCTATCGTGTATTTCTTATTGATATAGTTGTGTTCAATTTTTAAATTTAAATTTCACTATTAGATGGTGAACAACGAATATTTTAAATCACATTACTATTCAAATTGAATTTTATGAGTCATTAGAAAGACCCAAAATTTGTGTCCATTTATTTTTGAAATTTTGCAACATAGATCGGATATGCTTGAATGCCGGTATATTTGATTTTCTGCCTATCATATAATGTAATGGAAGAATTAACATGAAAATTTTGAATAAAAATTATCCCATCAAAAGGGCTCTGTCAAACCGTTTTCAAGATGTCTGGAGTTGATCCAAGCACCCTTAACATTGAACACAAGTTAATGGATTCATTCTTTACCCCTCCTAAGCCTCTCACTCAGGAGCAGATTGATTGGGCTGAAGAGCTCGGTCTAGCTATCACTGTAAAAGAAGATGGCCGAGTAAGAGTCTTCGGAGGTGACGAAGATGAGCGTGAAGAAGCAATTCTAAAAATGTGCGATCCAAACGCTGATCTTACTATCAAAAAGGAAGAAGAAGAAAAGAAAGAAGAAGAAAAAGATGAATCTGAATCTGATTCAGCAGATATTTTATTCAATCTCGGCAAGGAAGCTGTCCCAGTTGACGAGAATACAATGACACCAGAAGAGCAAGCAGCTCAAAGAGAAAAAGAACTTGAAGAATATCGCAACCAGCAACAAACAAACAAATTCATCAGACAACCAAAAGCTCAACCACAGCCAGCTCCAGCTCCTCAAAAGAAAGAATACAGAAAAGCGCCTCAAAAACCAAGACCTGTCTTTAATAACGTAATAGTTAAGCCAACAGGATGGGGCGACGTCACCGTTAAGCCAATCGCACAGCCAGAACCCGAACCACAGCCTGAGCCAGAGAAAGAACAGAAGAAGGAATTCACTCATACTCGTGGTGGCCGTGGCCAAGCATACAACGCTCTTCACTACATCATGGACGATAGCAGAGTTGGTCCATCAGCTCATGATAGAAACTACGATCACAAGAACCAAGGTTTTCCGCAGCCAAGAAAATTCAACAAGCAAAAATTCAACAAACAAGGCGATGGCGATAACCAACAGCAGCAAGACCAGGTAGACTTCAACGCGCATGACAATACAGACCCAATGCGTGGAGAAGGAAAGAAGAGGAAGAGAAATAAGAATAAGAAGGACAAGAAGCAGCAGCAACAGAACGGCGAGCAGCAAGAGCAACAGCAAGAACAGCAGCCAAACGAAAACAAGCCAAAGAAAGATAAAAAGAACAAGAATAAAGACAAAGATAACAAATTCAAGCCATACATACCTGGCGACAACCAGGAACAGAAGCAAGAGCCTGTCCAAGCTCCTGCTCCAGCTCCTGAGCCTCCGAAGCCAGAACCAGTCAAAGAACAGCCAAAACAAGAATACAAACCACCAAAACCGAAACCATTAACAATCGAAAAGCCAAAACAACAACAGCCAAAAGCTCGTCCTACAAAAAGCAAGTTCGGCGTTGGAAACATCGAAATTACAGAGGAAACACCACTCGAAGACTTAGTTCCAGACTGTTTCGTCAAGCCAAAGGTCATTGAACCCGAACTACGTCGTTCTTTCTACTTCGCTTTTGAGTGGTACACTGATGAAATTACAGATGACGAAATCCGCTCTGATCCTCGCTTCCACATGGAGCTTCGTAACGAGAAATCCCTTAAACCACACATTGCCGCTATCAGGAACGTCACTGTCGCTCCAATCATCGCTGATTTCGTTGCAGAATGCTTCTCTGCCACTTTGGCCCCAGAAATGCAGGGTCTAGCGGGCAAGTTCAGCAAAGAACCAACCGCCCACAGACTCCTTCTCCCTTCAATGATCCCTGTATCGTTCACATTAGCAGATGGCAACGTTGTCATGGCTTTCTTCGACACTCCATCTGTTTGCGGTGTCGAGGCCGAGTCAATGGTCAAGGCTGCACTCGATACATTCGCTACAAGAATGGTTTCAGTTTACGAATTCAAGAATGTTAAGAAAGGTGTTGTAAAACGTTCAGAAGTTATTGAACTTGGCAAGAGAACAGGTACTGTTGCACTTATCTCTCGTCAGGTTGGCGAAAACAACGTAGTTTCATTTAAGATTTATGTAATGCACACAAGATGGGATGATGAGAAGCAAAGTATGGTTGATGCAGCTGTCAAAGAATGGTTTGCTAAATCTATTCTCTGCAGGTGCGCTCTTTGCAAGCAGCCTTATCATGAAGATGACGGATCTTCCTGCGAAGAGAAATACCACCCAGGAGAGAGGATTCCGTTCGAAGACGGAGAAATGGAACAGATCGTTAGAGAGAAAGGCGTGGAAGTGGTCAAAGTTAATTATTCGTGCTGCGATATTTGCAGCAAAGATGATCCGGGTTGTAAGATTAAAGTTAATCCGGCACACGAAAAACTTGAAGTTATGTCTACAATAGAGGGTTTTAATGACAAAATATTGGTATAATAAACTAAACTTATTTATTTGATTTAATTATTTTGTAGAATGTTTTTTTTTAAAAAAAAAGAAGTTTATTATTGATAAATTAAGAACAAAATTTAAGTCAGAAATAACTCAAAAATGTCTAGAATTTTCATTTTTAGGAGGAAACAAAGAGATCATGAGTGAATGAAAAAAAAAAAAAAAAAAAAAAGGTAGTGGGGCCTCCAGGCACTTCGTGCCCTCTAGCCCTGAAGATGTTTAGTATAACTTTGTCCGGACAAATAAGGGTCTATCGTCGCTACAGGAAAAGTTACAGGCGTTCCACGGAAGTATACTTTGAGAAGCCTTTTCCCCCTTATAGAATGAGATAGGACCGTTATTTTACAAAACTGACAACACTTTGACCGAGTAGTTTTTTGTGCTGAACAAAAAGTGTCATATAAACATCTGTCAAAAACCGTTTTTTACTTCACTTAAAATGCCACGTAAGCTACGTAAGAATATACGTAAGAGGAAGAGAGCATTGAAACATCCAATAGTAAAACTGACACCACAACAACAGTTGCAACAACAAATTATGAATGACCCCACTATGTTGCAACAAATGTCAAGCAACCCTATGCTTTTAAACCGAGTTATTGGTGCACAGAGTGGAGGTTTAAGAGCGGCACTTTTAGCGAAAATGGCAGGCTATGGTGGAGCTGCAGACGGAACAGCTTATAACCCTCAAAGTCAAATGAATTTGAGTTCACTCAAAAATCAAATAACAGATGTCAAAAAGTCAAACATAGACATACAGAAACAAATAAGTGAAAACGAAAAGAAACTAGAATATGACAGACACACAAAGAAACTAAATGAGTTAAACGTAGAGAAAAAGAAGAAAGAAGAACAACTGAAAGAACTAAGTACAGAGGAATATGCGAAAAAAGTTTCAGAAAAAGCAGCAGAAGTAGCAAAAATGGAACAAGATGTTATAAATTTGAAAAACCATACTACTCAATATAAAGTACTGAAAGATGAAGAAATAAAACAAAAAGCCCTGAAGACATATATGGATAGCGATGAGTATAAAAAAGAAGTTGAAGCAAATGTAAAGGCAGAAAAACTTTTACAGTTGCAAAACCAAACCGTACAGTATGAAAACTTAGCACAAGAAAGTAAAAATAACGACGCAGCCATGCAAAAGGCAATGAAAAGCTCAGAATATATAAAAGCTAATAATGACTGGTTAGATGCCCAAGCCAACGCTAAAGCAGCCCAACTTATAGGGTCAATAAGGACAAAAATACAAGCGGATGAAGACAGTTCAAATGAAGCTTTAATGAATGCTGACTTTAAGAACGCCTTCGAAGCTCTTCATAGTAAGGTGAAACTAGTGAACGACTTCTCATCTGGAAAGAAACTGAAGTCTGAAGGTTTCGACAACGAGTTAAGAGAAGTAGCACAAAATATGACGAAAATAACAGATGCAGCAACGAGACAGGCAGTTCAAAGTGCCTATGACGCCGTTAGAGCAACTGTTGTGGAAAGTCAAGAAAAAGAGTTACAACAGACCAAAACAGACCTAGTAAATGCTTTCTTAAGAACGAAAAGTCAGGTAGGACATTATGCTGCAGATGGAACATATGTGCCAGCTGGTGGAACTTATATACCACCAAACCCTCCAAGAGAAGCACCTGCACCAGGACTACCTAAAACATTTACATCGTCACATGGACACAGACACAGGCATGCACCAACACAACAACCAACAGTTCAAAATCCAGCACAACAACCAACAGTTCAAAACACTGCACAGCAACCAACAGTTCAAAACCCTGCACAACAACAACCACAAACAGAGCAAGGACATAAAAGAAGTAGAGAACAAGGAAACCAAGAATTCTTAAAAATGCTTAAGGAAGAATTATGGTTACCCAGATACTCTTGACTTTAGTGACAGATATAAAGAAGCTATTAGAAAGTTCAAGGAAGGAAATACTGACCCGAACCTATTTAGCTTTATGGTTCAGCACCAATGGGATATAATTTCAAACCTGGAAAATACAAGCTCGCTAAGGGATATGATTTAATAGCATATCATCCAAATGACATGAATGAATTTACTCCGAGATATTTGGTGTCAGAGCTAAATGATAATTCAACTCTCTTCATGAAACGCGTAAAAAATAGAGACGGAACGAAAGAAGAAAGGTTTATGAGTCCGGATGACTTAGATAGGGAACTTGTTTAAAAACGGTCTCGGAATATATGAATGCCAGCAGATGAGGTACAAGAAACTCCACAGGAAGAAGTTCAGATACAACCAGACATGGAAGAAATAGTTCAAGCAACAACAGCTAGAAGAGCCTGAAGGAAACGAAAAGTCCTCCTTTGGAAACTAACTTCACAGAACTAGATGAAGATTTGGAACAGCCGAAAAATCTTGACCCTCAACAAGTGTATGCGGGAATATGGAATCTTTCAAGAGTCTAAGAAAAATTCGGCTGACATAGTAGAAGAATATCGAAAAATGTTCGCCGACATACAAAAGACTCCAACATCAATGAAAATATTCAGCATAGAATGGAAGAACTGAAAGAAAGTGTACGCAAATACAACAATCCTTTTTACTTACGACCATATAACGTTCAATCTTTGGCTGAACTCGGTGAAAATAAAAAGGTTAAATTTCAACAAAACATATAGAAATGAAACATTGTTTAAAGTTCATTCAGAACCTAACCAATATGGAAACAAACCTACTTTTGTTTCTGCAGACTATGGAACTACAATGAGATGGGTCATAAAGCTAATCCGGATAGGTGGTTCATAAACTTACAACCACAATTCCAAGAAGTTGTAGACGCAATGGAAGTGAATGGTGAACCAGATATAGCTGGTATTTTCAGCGCGGCTTTAATGCCATTGAAAGATATGAAAGATGCAGATATTTTGAACCAGTATGAAATGAAACATGGCTGATGGAAATATAACACCTGACGTTCTAGAACATTTATCTCAAAGAACTACACAGAACCATAGAGATGGTATATTTGGTGAAGAGTTTAGAAAGAAAAGTTAGGGAGAGAGAAGGAAGAGAACCTATTGTACATGACCTTGCAAACGAAAGTTTAAAATGTCATAAAAACTTACTTTGCAGACAATGAACTGAGAAGGGATGAATATTTAAGAAAACTCAAATGGACAGTACCAAATGAAATGTTAGTATTGAAAAACATGTTCCTTGACAAAATAAAACCAACTACAGAAATAAATGACGCAAGACTGAAACATTGGGTAAAAGCTTTCCCATTCACAAAAGATATTATTGGTAACATGGAAAGAAAACCAGAATGGCTACAAAAACATATATTTGGAAACGAGCATATTCCATATGGACAAGCTCTATATTGAAGAGCTTGAACCGGAAACTCAGGAAAGAGTCATGCAAACAATACGCGAAGACTCAAATACAAACTATGACAAAATCTTTCTAGGATATAGGTTACCTGAGATGGGCGACCAGAGCCCAAAGGCAAAAAGGACATGGGAAATTTACAACATACTAGGTGAACATGAGGCAAAGATGCAACAACTTGAAGCAGAGGGCAAGTTACCAAAAGCGACACCAAAGAAGAAGAGTAGAACAAAGTGAAAGTAGTGAAGAAGTAACTTCATCTAGTGAAAGTAGTGGCAATGAAGGAAAAAGAAGAGTTAAAAACTCAGTCAGGAAGAAAGTAAAGCTTGGTCCGAAACAATTATGAACATAAATCCAACTATTCTATATTTTTACCCATATGAATGTACGCCGCTCAGAATATAACGCCAACAGTTTTGGATGCCATGAACGGAAATGTTTCCGAATGGTATAACGAATGCGACAATGCCATTAGAAGGTCAGAAATAGTTCCTGGAACTTACGAATATACAACTGCTGTTTCTTATGGAAAGTAGGTGAGTTTGGGTGAAGGTTCTTCAACAACAGTAGATATTGCATGCGACAGGTTTCATATTATTTCTATTGACAACTCATTCTTATACGTGGAACAAGACATTGAAATAAAACCTTCTGCCAAGTTGTCTGACAAGAAAGGTTGCAATGGAATTTTCTATGTCGGATACCAATATGCTCCAGAAGTTTTCATGGGATATAAGATATATTCTAACTCTGACTTAGTTCAAACAGTAACATGGGCAAACTATGAATGGTTCGCTTTGAGAAACTCAGTACAACCACAAGCTAGAGAACAAACAGACCAGTATGCAACTATTGAGAAAATAAGAAGACTTGACCCTAACGTTCCAGGAGTTTATGTTAACCTTTCTGGTTCAGATGGAACTGCTGCCACTAAATTAAAACTGAAACTTAGAGTTCCTTTGTCATCTTTCCTCATCTTCAGGTTTTTAAGATACTTGCCAAACTGGGCAGGAAAAATTTCTATCGAACTTACTCCAAGCAAAAATAACTTAGTCATTGCACCAACACAAGACCCATTCACTCTTACAGACGTAAAGGGAACAAATAAACGTCATTCGCCGAATTTTGCAAAGACAAAGTTGACTTAGACTTTGGTTTCTCAAACCTCAACACTGAAGTAAACTATTATTTCAATGCTGCTGGATGCTTGGGACCCAGTTAAGTTCACATGCGAAAAATTTGAATGCAAGAGAATAGAAAGCAGACTTGCAGTCTATATGTTGGACCCAGATATTTCAAATGCTTTAGCTGCCAAATATATTGCAGTTCCACTTATGTTCCCTATACACCAAATATCTGTCAAAGACTTTGCAGGTGAAGTTGGAAACCAAAGTGCTGACCCAGGTGCAAGAACAGATATTGCTTTAACAACTGCAATGAAACATGCAGATACTATGTTTGTACTGTTCAGACGAACTATAAATGACTATTCTTGTTTCTACAACCCTGGTATTAAATATCATATAAACATAGATGGCAAATATTATCCAAGAGAAGAATATTCTACAGTTGAGGATATGAGGTCATACAACTTGACATTAGATGCTATGAACTTTAACAACAATTTTCACAACAACCATTAACCCTGAAATGCAAAGTTCTATTATGCCATATGTGAAAGTATGGACTCATACAGGAGGTCAAAAAACTCAATATACAAATGGAGACCGTTCAAACTTTTGGCTTGGCATTCCATTTGCTGACTCAGAAGACTTTATGAGTGGTATTTCAACTGTTGGTACTGTACAAATACAATATACTGGTGACAGAGACGGTCCAGATGAACTGAGAGCAAAGAAGTTTACAAAACCAATAGCACTTTTCACGGAAGATGCTCTTTTGAAGATTCGTTCGATGAAACCTGCTGGGGCTCCTCAGATTGGCATAACGACAGCTTCCATCGAGCAGATTTTGGCAGCAGGTCAGTAAGTTGTTCTTGAACTGACTTCTCTCCGTCAAATATTGACAGTACGCCAGTTTTGACATAATATTGTAAGATAAACTTACCTTTAGAAATATCTGTAAGTTTTGAAGTTATATTTTGTCTGCTTCAAGAACTTTCACCATTTCAGTTATACCAACTTTCTTTGCTTTATGAAAATATTTAGGTTCAGCAAATATTGCTATTCTATAACATTTACCATTGTTTGTATAAAGAACTATTCTGTCAATGTATTTGTATTGTTTGTGTGTGTAAACTTTGTTCTGCTTCAATTCAAAGAGATATCCGAATACGTCCATCTTTTTATTCTAAGTAAAATGTCATTTCCGAAAAATAGAAGCGTGAGTGTTTCAAAAGGTTTAATGGCGGTGGCAGATGTGAAGTTAAATTCACCAACTCAAACAAACAGTCAAAGTGTTATTGTCAATGTCAAAGACAGAGATGTTGAAGTGGGGAAACCATACGAACGAAGATGGTATAACAATTGTTCCTGTAAAAGAACAACCAACATATCCTGAAGTTAGCAGAGACTTAAGTTCTGTTGCAGATATTCGAAACGACTACCAACAACTGAAAGACAAACTTCAAACTCAGGAGAAGATTTGTCAAGCTTTAGGTATAATGTTAAACTTGGTCGAACACAACCCTGTAAAAGTGAACTCATATGTCATTGCACCTCATGAAGTTTTGAAAGAACTATTGAAACTTTTGACAGAGGCAGACGATATAAACATCAAAGAAAAGAACTCCGACATTAGTTTGCTGTGGTGTTTCATATAATGTCATTGACAAGATATACGTTATGAAAGGAGGTGAAACGTTGAACTTAAAATATAGTTTCCCAGACGTTATAAAAATATTTGACGACCACAACATTTCATTAAAATTTATTTGCTAAGTAAAAATGTCAAAACTTCTTGAAAGATGTTTGAAGAAAATAATATAGACTTTATTTCATGTAAAGGAACTTTAAACACACTTTGAACGATATGAAAGACCCTGTTTTGTTTGTTCGTGTAGACAAAGGAAAGTTCTATGTCTTTACAAAATATTTGAACTTCTTAGACAGAGAACTTCAAGAAACGCCATGTGAAAGTTTAGATGAAGTTCTTCTCCACTTTCAGAAAAAACTTTTAAATATATATAAATGGCAGAAGATATAATGGTTTATACTATTACGACTAAAAACCCTGAGTCATATAATTCTATAACAACAAACTTACAAAGTCCTCAAGGACGATATTGTAAACTAACTTAAACACAATGACGACTAAAGCCTGTTTTGCCTCTTTTGACACCAGAAGACTTTATTGTTGTGAATGGTAAAAAATACTCCTTTGAAGATACTTACTCAGATATACCACCAACAGGTTTTGTTGACTTATTTAATACTTTAAGTACGGGTGTAACATGTGCTGCAACTAGAGCAGGTTTCATTATGTTTGGATGTCCGACTGAGTTTACTATAAACGATATGAGCTATAATACAAACTTATTTCTGGTTTTTACTACCAACAGTTTCCTATAACAGGAAAAGGTGTCATACAAGGAATGTCTGTTCCATGACTTTAAGTACACCTATTTTATATTTGTTTCAAACTTAGGTTCAAAGTGTTATTCGAATGTCGACAGAAACTATTATGACCAAAAGATACTTATGCGTATAAACAATACTTTCTCTGCTGGTTTGCCTATTGTTCATTCGAATGCAGAATTTTCAACCTTAGTGAACTCAAACACTTTGGCAAGTATAACGTTGACATTAGTTGACGCAAACTTTGTTCCTGTAAAACTTTTATGTCCTATGTATTTGTCAATGACGGCAGAAAGTTTCGAATTGGAAGATGCAACTGGTGAAAGTATTGTATTACAAGAACAACTTCAACAACAAATAGCTCAAGAACAACAAATGCAACAATGCAACAACAAAGTCAAGAAAAAAAAAATATTTTTTTTTATTTTTATAAAAATGTACAGAATAGATGTTTCAGATTTTTTGACTTCCAAGCATTCAGAAATATGTGTCCATTTAGAGACTATAACAAAGCAGTCGAGAATTTGAAACGTTTAGTCATTTATGTTGACTCTGCCCCAGAATGTTATGTCATGAAAGAATGGGATGTAGTCTTTAACAAACCAAGAGCAACAATAGTGTCTGAACAAGAATGTAGACAGAAACTTAAGAAAATAAAAGTCGTACAAGTTGGCATGAAGATGTTAGATGCTTGGGATATCTTATTGTCAAAGTTAGAAGATTTTTCAGTTCGAGGTATAAAGTTTTATACACCTTCTCCAAACTTCTATTCTATCTTCACTGGATATAAATATGAACAAGTAGAATGGAAAGAAAATATTATAGAAGCTTGGTTAGACCATGTCAAAGAAATTATATGCAATGGAAACGAAAAGGTTTATGAGTATATCTTATGTTGGTTTGCAAACATCTTACAACATCCAAGTGCTAAAAATGAAACTGCTCTCATTATAATTGGAAAACAAGGAACTGGTAAGAACACATTCTTTACAGATATCTTGTGCAAACTGTTAGAGGGCTATTCGAACCCGAATATGACAAACTTAGAAAACATCTGTGGCAAGTTTAACTCCTCAATAGAGAATATGAAACTTATAGTATGTAACGAACTTCAAAGTATAGATACAACAAAAGTTTTAAACTCAGATGCTTTGAAGAGTCTTATAACAGACAAAGTTGGAGTTGTTGAAAGAAAGTATAAAGACCAAAGAGTTTGTGAAAATGTTGCAAACTTCATTATGGTTTCAAACAATGCTGTTCGATGAAGTTAGAAAGTTCTGACAGAAGATATGTAGTTGTCAGAACGTCAGAAGCTCATATGCAAGATACAGAATATTTTGACGACTTAGCAGAAACTTTGACATCTGACTTTTACAACACTTGTTTCTCATACTTTATGACATTAGATATTTCTAAGTTCAATCCAAGACAAATTCACATACCGAAGAGAGACAAACATTGTTAGAAGCAAACAAGAGTGTATATGAACTTTCATAGATGAAACTGACTTTGTGTCATTAGATGAAAGGTCATTGTACGATTCGTATAAACAATATTGTCAAGAATATGGTTATATGACAGCGTCTAAACGAACATTCTTGGCAAATGTCAAAAGTCTTTTAGACGTACAGAATGGTGTATATACAAAGAAAATTTTTTATGAGTAAATTTTAAAAAAAATATTTTTTTATCCGATAGAAAAGATGACGAAATATATTTCAGTAAACAAGTACATGTCAGGACTTAAAGAAGAACTAGACCCATTCACATATTTGAATGTTTACTTCTACCATTTTGAAAAGTCTTCATTCAGCAAAGTTTGGAACATCGAACCAGTTAAGTTTGCTATTGTGACTAAAAATGGTGCGAAATTTGAAGACTTAGACATAGAAGGTTTGTTAGCAGTCAAAGAAAGTTTTGACAGAAGGTTTTCAAACCTTAAAGAAGGCAAAGCATACAAACTTGTTATACCTTATGAACCAAAGAAAGCAGACGACTATGAATATTATGAGTCTAAAGTTGTAGAAGTTCAAGGTAAATTGGGTAAAAAGATTTTAGAGTCTAAGCCAGTGTTTACTCCTAAAGAGGAAGAGAACATTGACATTGACCCAGAAATGTTCTAAAAATAAAATTTATTTTTACATGTCAAATTTCTTTTCTCTGGAACTGGTTCAGGTTCTTTCTTCTCTTCTTCTACTTTCTTTTCTTTCTTTTCTTTCTTCTTCTTTTCTGGTGGAGTTATGTCAAATTTGGCGCAACTATATTTATGTAAAAGTTCTTTGTCCTTTAATAGCTCTTCTATTCTGTTTTCTATTTCATCTTCAAAAACAGCGCATGTGTCTTCTTTGCATTCTAAGAACTTTTGTTGGACTTCATCTTTCAATCGGCGTCATCTCTGTCAACAAGTCTGTCATTGACAATTTTAAGACTGCTCTGCTTAATGTTTTATGGTTCTTGTCATATTCCCAGAACAGAACTTTAGAACAAATTCACCTTTCTTGTTTACACTATGTAAGATTTTATGGTCGACAGATGTTTTGCTGTCGAAAAGTTTGTCTCGAATATAGATAGCGAAATCGCTAGACATTTTCTAAAAGATAAAAATTTTAATTTTTCTAAAAATATGTTAGAAAAAAAGTTTGCTGACATTGACAAGAAATTTGAGAATGTTTTAAACAAAACAAGAGGAAGTTAGAAAATGCTCAGATAAAACCTATACATGACAAGTTCTTATTTGCTCAGAATGGTATAACAGGTCTAATTGCACCACCTGGGTCGGGTAAGACTTTCACTTATCTTAAAATGGCTGCACAACAACAAGAACTAGATGAGAAGAACCCATTTTATGAGTTAGTAGTCATTTGTAGTACTTCTGGTCAATTTGACCAAACCGTCAATTCGTTCAAAGATATTATAAAGAAGTCTAAGTTAGTATGTATAAAAGACTCTGAGTTGTTAGATTGGATAAAGAAGTACCAAAGAAGAGTTTTGAAGTATAATGCTATAAATGAGTATATAAATTCTAAGTTTAAAGACCCAAATGAGGAAATGCAGAGAATATTAGAGAAGAAACACTTCAGAAACAAACAGAAAGAGATAGAATACATTTCGAAGAAATTGCAATCTTACGATTGGAAGACATACCCTCATAGATGTCTTCTTATCTTAGATGACTTTGCTTCTCATCCTTTGCTTAAGAATAGAGAACAAAATATGTGTCGAATTCTTAAGAAGCTCAGACACTTTAACATCTCAGTTGTCATTTGTGTACAGACAGCAAAGAGTTTAAGTAAGGATGTAAAGAGAATACTTACTGACATTGTACTTTTCCCCGGATTGTCCGAAGACGATTTCATGGAACTTATGAAAGAGTCCATGGCAGGTAAGTTTGACAGACATGAACTATGGGAGAAGTACAAAGTCATACAAGACCCTCATACTTCTTTCAGAATTCATATCTACGCAAACAAAGTTTCAAATTGTAAAAAGTCAAGCTTGAAAAATAAAGAGTCATTTACTCTACTTGTTTGAAGTTGTCAAAATACTCTGTTATTTTTTCCTTTAAACAATGACAAATCTTCTTTTGAAGGTAAGTATTGTACAACCTTTAATATCATAGTGTGTTTGAGGTAACGTATCTTGAACTATTTGTTTCACATCTTCATTTGGAGTCATTGAAATCGGTTAAGTTTTCGCGATAGAACCAATTTCTGTCAGATTTGTAAATCTTAGCAAGGTCGTAAAAGCTTTTTTTGTTTCTTCTGACTAAATGCAACATAACCATGTCACTGTCTTCTTCTTTCTCCATATCTTCAGTATAAATCAATATACTTATAGTTCTTTTCCTTACCTTTTGGTACGAACGTGGTATTCTTTTCTGAATGCTTTTGTCTTTTGCTTCAATGACTTCATCTTTTGCTTGAAGTTTCTTTTCCATCTCTTTCACGTTCTTGTCTATGAATTTCGTCAAGAAGTCTGTAAACATGCCATGCATAACGAGGAGAAGCCCACATTGCAACTGCATTTACTAAAAGTCTATGTACATAATATCCTCTTAAATTTATTGGCAAATTTTTACGATTTTCATGTTTTTATGCATGGCCGAAAAAAGTCGGTCTAGAGAAATTTCACTCAAAAGTTCTTGTGTGCTTTGGTTTTTGAAACCAGTCGTCTGCGTGTTTAGTGTCTGGAGCAAAACATGCTGTCAAAATACTTTGCATTTGTACATATCGTCTTTGACCGAACGAATGAGACGGAGTTGTTTGTTAAACTGAAACCCACTCATATTCTTCATTTATGGCTTCATGAACGATAGCAGTTGTTGTGTTCTCTGATGTTGACATATCTGTCTTACATACAAAATAAAAAAATAAATAAAAATAAAACTAACTTTATTTTTTCTATCTTAAGGAAATTCACTGTTTTCATGAGTTTTAGGCGACTAAGGTTTTCTTACCTACTCGCTGTTCTTCACTGTTTTCATACGGAATCTCTTCTCTCGGTTTTCCGAGGGAAGCAATCTTATGCCATTTTACTCAGATTTTTGTGCTGAATTCAGCAAAAATAATGTTTAGGTGAAGAGGTGCGATCTCACCTGTTTTCTCACCTGTTTTCTACCCCAGTTATTTTATAAGCGTTTCACATGGTAAACGTTATTTTTACATTATGACACGAAGTGAAGGTTTGCACTTCGTCAAATTTTAGCGTTATTTTTACATTATGACACGAAGTGAAGGTTGCACTTCGTCAAAAATTAGCGTTATTTTTACATTATGACACGAAGTGAAGGTTTGCACTTCGTCAAATTTTAGCGTTATTTTTACATTATGACACGAAGTGAAGGTTTGCACTTCGTCAAAAATTAGCGTTATTTTTACATTATGACACGAAGTGAAGGTTTGCACTTCGTCAAATTTTATAAAAAATTAGCGTTATTTTCTGACTTTCACAAAAGACCAAAAATAAACGCTTTACATGTATTTTTCAGCAACTTCGTCAAATAATTTTATAGCTTTATCTATCTCATCTACTTCAAACGTTTCTTTACCTTTTATGGGAGCACCATACATTTTCTCAAACTTTTCAAGTAGTTCTGTTTCTGCAGCTCTCATATCATTAGCAAACACAACCTTGACTATATTGACTGTACTGTCATATCTTTGAGTTATATTATATGTTCTTCCTATCTTATATCTCTTTGTATTGAAGTCCTTCGGTTTCTGAACGATGTAAAGTAAGCCTTCACTGCAACGTTCCGTATCGAATGAACCATATGTTATGAAGTTATATCCAACAACTGGGTCTAACCATAACAAAACTATTGGTATAAGACTTTTGTCGATGAGATATGCTGTAGTTCCATAGAATCTTACCGATATCATAAGCTCAGGATTTCTTGTCAAAATTTTCTGAGTAGAAGCAATTCTAACCCAGTCCTTCGGTCTCTTTCCAGATGGAGATAAAATGTCTGACAAAGAATATTTGTTGTATTTCTTTGAGTATCTTACGTTTAAATCACCTATTCTAACCAATTTGGTGTCATTGTCTATCTTTTTAACTGTTTCAAACTCAATGTTTGTCATATCTTTCTTTAAGTCAGCATAGTCGTTTCTCATACGTTCTATCTCTTTGACGGAGTAGTTATATTTCCTAATTGCTGCTTTACATTTAGAACATTGCGGGTTCATTTTTGCGTTATATTCTGAAACCTTACCTGCTAAAACAACTAAAGCGTCAATTGCTCTCTTCATCTCAAAAGTTGCTGGTTTTATCTGTTTGTTCCATACTTTACATCTTCTATCTTTATCTCTTATCTGCCAAACACATTCAGCAACTAACGAAACAAAGTTGTCGTAGGTCTTAAATTCTTCAGATTTATATATGTCAGAAACATTCTTATATACCATGTCGCAATCTTTGTCCATAACCTTATGGTTGCAATGAAATCCTAGAAACTCATAATTTACCTTTCGTATGAACTTCTTTATTTCTACTGAGTCAGTTGGTTTCACTTCTATTTCATCGAATTCAGGAATAGTGAGCTTTTGCTGCTGAATTTCAGGCAATTTGGGTAAATGGTCAATAATGTCCTGCATTTCATAAAGATACTGTTCATTTGTTTCATCTTTCGCACTACAGTCTAAATTACATGTTAAAAGTTCTTGCTTTATCTTCTGGATTTCTGTTTCAAAAGTATATGAAGAAGGAATGAAGCTTTTCATTTCTACTAACATTGACGTAGGATTCATGACTAACGAGTTTGGTGCTGTTGTTTGAAGTGTTGTAGAACCTATTGTTGAAATCATATCTTTTATACAAAATAAAAAAAAATAAAAAAATAAAACTAACTTTATTTTTTATTTCGGGAAAATTCATGAAAATTCAAGAGGTGAAAAAAGAGGTGAGAAAACAGGTTAGATCTAACCTCTTCACCTAAATTATATTTTTGGGTCCTTTACACTCATTACGAAGAAGTCATGACAAAACATTTACGAAGAAGTCATGAAAATTCAAGAGGTGAAAAAAGAGGTGAAAAAACATTTACGAAGAAGTCTTGACAAAACATTTACGAAGAAGTCTTGACAAATTCAAGAGGTTAGAAAACGTGTTAGAAAACGTGTTAGATCTAACCATCTACCCGACATTCTCGTCAAATACAAAAAAATACAAAAAAATGACACTTTTTCATTAGATAACTGTTATTTTTTGACGAAGTGAACATTGACACTTCGTCAAAAAAATCCCTGAAATCATGTCTAACATACAAAAAAATACAAAAAAATGACACTTTTTCATTAGATAACTGTTATTTTTTGACGAAGTGAACGTTTGCACTTCGTCAAAAAAATCCCTGAAATCATATCTTACATACAAAAAAATACAAAAAAAATGACACTTTTTCATTAGATAACTGTTATTTTTTGACGAAGTGAACATTGACACTTCGTCAAAAAAATCCCTGAAATCATGTCTTTTATACAAAATAAATAAAATAAAACTAACTTTATTTTTTCTATCTTAAGGAAATTCATGACAAATTCAAGAGGTGAAAAAAGAGGTGAAAAAACAGGTGAGATCGCACCACTTCACCTAAACATTATTTTTGTCTGATTTACGCTCATTACGATGAAGAAGTCTTGACAAAGCATGTACGTTCATGTTTGACAAAACATTTACGAAGAAGTCTTGACAAAGCATGTACGATGAAATCATGACAAAGCATGTACGTTCATGTTTGACAAAACATTTACGAAGAAGTCTTGACAAAACATTTACGAAGAAGTCTTGACAAAACATGTACGAAGAAGTCTTGACAAAACATTTACGATGAAATCATGACAAAACATTTACGAAGAAGTCATGAAAATTCAAGAGGTGAAAAAAGAGGTGAAAAAACAGGTTAGATCTAACCTTCTACCCTAAATTATATTTTTGGGTCCGGGAACAACTTTCTCTCAATAGGGGCTGTAGCGTACTCTTTGCGTAAGCGGTTCAGACCTTCTTCGAACTCTTGGTCTCTCTTCGATTTGGATTGAGATTGGAATTGAGATTGGAATTGCTGGAACATCCAAGGGTTGGGGAAGTAAGGCATAGGCTGAGGAGGAGGGTAGTTCGGGAAGCCTTGTAGTGGGTAGTAACCTTGAGGTGGAAATTGGTAGTAATTTGGTGGAGGGACTTGCTGGAACTGAGGTTGCTGAGGAGACTGTTGTGGTTCTGCAGCTTTCGGTTCTTCTGGCTTGGGAAGGCATTCAGGAAGAGGAACGTCAGTCATTCGTTTGTGTCCTGTTGTCCGGAAAAACTTTTCCTGTTGTCCGGAAAAACTTTTCCTGTTGTCCGGAAAAACTTTTCCTGTTGTCCGGAAAAACTTTTCCTGTTGTCCGGAAAAACTTTTCCTGTTGGAAGGAAAAACTTTTCCTGTTGTCCGGAAAAATTTTTCCTGTTGTCCGGAAAAATTTTTCCTGTTGTCCGGAAAAATTTTTTCTGTCGGAAGGAAAAATTTTTCCTGAAGTTCGACCAAAAAGTTCTCAATTTTCGAAAATTTGAATGGTTTACGGACAGACAACTGGAAAATTTTTTCCTGTTGTCGGGAAAATTTTTTCCTGTTGGAAGGAAAAACTTTTCCTGTTGGAAGGAAAAACTTTTCCTGTTGGAAGGAAAAACTTTTCCTGTTGGAAGGAAAAACTTTTCCTGTTGGAAGGAAAAACTTTTTCTGTCGGATGGAAGGACTCGGAATGCCAGAAGGATTTGACGAGGCAGTTTACCTAATTGAAATTAACAACTGCGTAAAAGACTACTTGCGCAAGGTCATGAAGCCCAAGGTCAAGTTCACCGCTATTTCTGGAAGGTCTACACTTCAGCTCGAGATTTCGACTGGAATTCCAATTCAAATACCAGAAAACACTCCTTTCGACGACATAAAGCAAGCAAAGAAAGAAGCTCTTCTCAAGTTCTTTGCCAAGCGTCCTTGGATAAAAATACCAAACAGAGAGAGTCCAATTC